AAGAACAGAGAGGCTAGAGGCCCAGGCAGGGGTCAGATAGACTAATCAAGGTGTAGGAAGTAGCTGGCCCTGGAAGAGTATTGGAACCTGTCTGTAGCCAGGCAGGGCAACGGTGGCCACCCCACTCTGCCACTCACCTGATTCTGAGTTTCTGAGCCTCTCCTGGTGCACAGTGGTGGGGATCTTTGTGTAGATGTTGCAATGTGGGAAATGCAGAATTGGACTTTGAGCTGAAGATTTTGTAGGTCCCAAGTGGGAGGGAGTGGCATCAGTACTAGGACTGACTGTTCTCCAAAAACAAGGGGAGTGGAAGGGGGTGGAGATGGGGCGGAACTCTGTGGTGATGTATTGTGTATTAAATAAAGCTTGCCTGAGGAGCAGAGGACAGAGCCTGCCACTAGATTAAACACAGGCCAGGCAGTGGTAGCACACACCTTAATCCTAGCACTTGAGATCTCCTGCCTTTCCTACCAGTATTTGGGATCACAGACACCATTAATCCCAGTATAGAAAGGAAGTAAAATGGCTGGACAGAGAAAGGCAATGAGGCGGGAGGAGACAGGAGCTAGACGCTTTTTCAGCTGAGGACTCGGAGGCTTTCGGTCTGGATTCGTGGAGACGGGATCTCACTTTCCATTCAGCCTGAGGACTCAGTAGTGGTGAGAAATGTCTCTAGTAGCTTGTTTCTTTGTCTTCTGATCTTTCAGCATTTACCCAATATCTGGCACCAGGTTTTATTATTATTATTATTATTATTATTATTATTATTGCATTTAGAATTTTTGCAACAGAACTCTATTACTACCTCCCCCCCACACACACACTGTGGACTGTGGGTTTAGCCTGTAGAAAACAAGGGTAGATCAATGGACAGTTGACACCATTAGCAAAGGGAGGGGCGTGGCCAGATGGGGACAAAGCTGTTCATGTTCCTGCTGGCTCCCAGCCAGTCCTGAGGACATCTGGGTTTGGATGAGAGCAACCACAGCAGTGCCCGGAACTTCTTGCTGAACTCAGGGAAAATACAGAGTGATGAGAGGGAGCAAGGTCAGCGAACTGGAGCTGCAGCAGAGTTGATAAGTTGTTCCGGGGAGAGACCTGGAGTCTAGCGGCCCTGGAAGGTGCCCCTGCCTCATGGCTGCTGGGCTACCTCAGCCAGAGCCACACAGTCCCTAGAAGGGTTTTTACCCTCTGGACGTGCAAGCAGCTCCACAAAGACAGGAAAGGCTGCAGCTGGGTGTGTCATAGGGCCCCAGGGAGGAGAAGAACCCCACCCTCTAGAACGTTGTCTTCTGCATCAAGCTGCACTGGAGTCAGATATCAAGGGTGAAAGGTGAAAGGTCAGAGAAGCACAGCAGCAGCCACTAGAGACTTCTTACCTCTACAAAGTCCCAGACCGAATGGGGGACATATGTCTCTAGGAATCCTCAGACTGAATGGAGGTGATCCTGTCACCAGCTCCCTATTGTGCTGGCATTAAAGGTATGAGCATCCCATGTGCTGAGATCAAAGGCATTAGATCCCAAATGCTAGGATCAAATGCCTGAGATCCCAAGTGCTGGGATCAAAGGTGTGAGCCACCACCACCCCGCTCTGTTTCTCTTTTAGACTGGATCAATCTTGCGAAGCCCAGGGTGGCCTTGCCTGATCTTCCTGCTTCCTCCTCTCAAGTTCTGGGATTAAAGGTGTGTGCCCCCACGGCCTGGCCTCTATAGTTAAAGAGTGGCTAGCTCTGCCCTCTGATCTCCAGGCAAGCTTTATTTGGCAGAACACAAAATATCATACAGCAAGCCTGTGCTGACCAGTAATTCACAATGTAATTCAAGGTGGCCTTGGATTTGTGGCAATCCTCCTGCCCCAGACTCCCCAAGTGCAAGGATTACAGCTGTGAATCACCACACCCAGTCTCATTAGGAGAGTTCTGTGCTTGGAATGAAGATGGGTCCTTGCAGGAGCTCTGACAACACAAGGGAGACCAGTGTCCCAGGAGAGAGACCACCACCCTATGTGTCCTCCTAGCTTCTGGCTCCTCCAGTCTATAGACAAGCTATGGAGCATTTCTCAGTTTTGAAGATAACTATAAATTCATTTATCCATGTATTATGTCTTTTTTTTTCCTTATGGGTGGGCATTAGGATCCAATGCCAGGCCTTAGAGGCATGAGATCCACTAACAGGAACGTATGGAGAGTGGGATCCACTCACAGAACTTGGCATCTATGCAGAGGGGATCCACTCAGAACTTGGCATCTATGGTGAGGGGATCCACTCACAGAAGTTGGCTCCTATAGAGGGGGGATCCACTCCCTGAACTTGGTGTCTGTGCAGAGGGGATCCATCTCAGAACTCGGCACCTGTGGAAAGGGTCACAAACAGAGCAGCATCTCTGGAGGGACAGTGTCTAGTTGCAACTCAGAGCTGTAGCAGTCCCAACAGTGTGCTTACAGGTCACTGCCTCTGGAAAGTCTCTGTCAGCGCATCTGCAGCCAGTGAACGGGGAGAAAGAAGACTGGAGACCCAAAGGGTAGTTCGGGCCAGCAATATTGTTGGTTTTACTTTATTGCGGCACTTTTACTCTGTGAGGAAGGGTCACAAGGCACGACAAAACCCAAAATCAGAGCTTCATTAGGAGAGGGGAGGGGACAGAAGAGAGTGACCAGGCCTGTGAAAGACACGTGGGCGGTGGTGGTGGGGAGTCTGTGACCAGTGTTTTAAGGATTTCCCTGCACATGCGCATGTGGGCTTACGGAGCTATGCCACGCATGCGCAGATTGTGTGTCCACAGAGCGTTGGGATGACATAAGACGTGAGGCCTCTTACTTGGCTACTGAACTGCGCGCGTGCAGTTGTGCAGCTGAGGGAGTGAACAGTAATTCTAACAAAATGGCTCAGAGGAAAAAGACACTTGCTGCCAGAGCTTGGTGATCTGAGTTCAATCCCCAGGACCCTTACAGTGAGAAGAGAGAAATGACTCCTACAGGTTGTATTCTGACCCCCGCACAGCATGAATGCACATGTGTATACACAGGTACACACAACATATGTGTGTTGTGTATGTATTTTTTTTATTTGAAGGTAGTCTTTCCTAGCCCCAGAATAAGTTTAAACCTTAAATCCAGCTGTAGCATTTTGTGTGGGAGAACTCCTGTGTGACAAGGCAAAACTGAGAAGTCCATCCTGGCAGGTTCTGTCTTGGAAGGGGCATATTGCTTGGGACTAAGATACTTTGGGGGCCTGGAAACAGGAAATGATCACAGTCAATTGTCCCCGGATTTCCCCAGCCTCAGCTCCTGGAACAGGGTGGCTGTATCAGGAGTTGTGGTTTAGGGGAAGGCTGGACAGATTCCATGAGAAGCTTGGCAGTGGTGGCCCCGCCCTCCTTAGAGGAAGGTAACTCAACACTGGCAACTCTGAGACAGAGGTCAGGGACATCACCCACCTTTTTTTTTTTCACATGCAGTTTTGTAGGAAAGGGGGCTGGGTACTTCTGAGGGCAGAAGCTCCAGGACAGAGGCAGCAGGTGGTGTAAACTCCAGGACGGCCTCAGCCATGCAGGTTTCTAGGTCACTCCATGGAGTCTCTCCTTCCTGCAGGAGTGTTTCATGCTCAGGGAGAGTAGAGAGGGCTAAGATGGGTCCTCTGATAATGTTTCAGTCACTGGGGAACACACTTGGGCTTAGACCCCAGCAACCCTGAAGTATACAAACGGGGGAGTCTGGGATGGGATGAGACTCCAGTCTCTCCTAGTACACGAAGAAGGGAGGTCTCTGAGGAGCATTAGCTCTGCTGAGCAGTTGACCTTTGAATCCTCTGGGCTCAGCACCAGTTTAAACAGGATAAAACAGGAAAATCTCCAAGTAACTGCCTGCTCTCCTGTCTAGTGGGCGCCATTCCAAACCCAGGACATTTTCCTGCATTTTCTTTCCCTCGGCCCTGTGTTCCCCTCTTCCTGTACTCCTGATAAGTTTATTTTATTTTTGAGAGGTGGTGTGTAGCATGGGTCGAGGATGGTCCTGAGTTCTTGATCCTTCTGCTACTACCAAGTGCTGGGATCGAGGCCTGTGATACCACCCCCAGTTTGATCTTGTTTTTTAAAGTATATTATTGTTGTTCCTTATGATTCTAATTCTGCTCATGTACTCTTCTTTATTGTACGTTTATTTTATAGTTTGCTATCTCCTCTCCTGCTCCCTAACAAGCTTCTCTTGTTTCTTTGTTTAACTTTAGAATCTAATTTTTTTTTCTGTTCCTCCTTCCTTTATTTCACTCAATTCTTGTTTCAACCTTTACCCAATTATTTTATAGTGTTTTGAGACAATCTCTCTATTATGTGTTCCTGGCTGTCCTGGAACTAGATATGCAGTGCAGGTCGGTCTCAAACTGAGATCTGCCCACCTGAGTGCTGGGATTAAAGCATATAAAACCACTCCCAGTTACACTCTCTTGGCAGTTTATTTTCTGCAGTTCTTGGTGGTATCATAGTTGACTTCAGTAGATTTAAAGTGCTTTCTTTTTTCCCCAAAGGCAGGATTTCTCTGTGTAGCAGCCCTAGATATCCTGGAACTCTCTCTGTAGACCAGACTGGCCTCAGACTCATCGAGATCTGCCTGCTTCTGCCCTCCGGGTGCTGGGATAAAAGTCATGGGTCACACCGCCCAGCTAAAATGCATTTCTATATCTGGTTTGACTTGCTATTGGTGTTGGTTGGTTGTTCAACTGTTTGTTATGTTTTTTTTCCCTTAGGAATACTGGGGTCACATCTGTCCCAACAGACTCACAGATCATAACAAACATGAAAAACTAGGTAGCATGGTCCCTGAAAGGAACATAACACCTCCACTGCCAGATCCAAGATACTGAAACTGGGAAAGAACTGAAGGAAGAATTCAGAGTTGAGTAGAGCAATGGCTGAGTGGTTAAGAGCACTTGCTTTTCTTCCAGGGGTTCTGAGTTCAGTTACCAGCACCCACATCAAAGCTCCAGGGGATGTGATGATGTGATGCTTTTGCTCTCTGTGATCACCTGCACTCACATGCAGACACACACATACCTACACATAATTGTTTTTAATCTTTAAATGTGTGTGTGTGTGTGTGTGTGTGTGTGTGTGTGTGTG